CTCCCCCCGTACCGTGATTCTGATTGATGGCGTTCCATTGTTTTGACAGACACGGCAAAGTTGTTGGTTTTTTTTGTGGTTTTCTTTTTTTTCGGACTCGCCGCCGCGGCCCGCGCACCCCCTATAGCCCCGTTGAGCTGCTGTGCTTTGCTGATAAAAGAACGAGAGAGAGAATATGTACTCATATCCCGTGGAGTGTGAGTGGGAAGGGACGTGGGAGGGGGGTAGATATCAGGTTGGCGCTGCTGCCGTACATCGCATCGCGAATGGTAACCAAACACCCCCGCGCGCGCGCAGAACCCGAAATAGGGACGGTCGCTTGGGTAATAATGGAAGAAAAAAATAGTAAAATAAAATTCCTGTGCGGGAAATGGGACATGCAAACGCTGCGCACCGACCGCCTTCGTCGTACAGAGGACGACAAGGGGGCCGTCGACCCGGGTGTGGGGTGTGTTCCCTACCTGCAAGGCCGCCCCCAACCCACCTCTCTAGTACCCCGTTGCGCATCATCCGCTAACGGTTGCGTTTGTTCTCTTTTGTTCCAGGTAAGCGTTGTGGGTGCCGCCGCGTTGCCTCGCCGCCTCGGCCGCTGCTGTACTCGCCGTGGGGGTTTGTACTCTTGGCCCGCGGGGACGCCGCGCCCGCGCCGCCCCCGCGTGACAGCGGTCCCCCACGCCAACAACCAGTGGAGCGGCAAATTGAAAAAAAAAGGGGGGGAAGGGAGTAAAGGGCGTCCCACCGACCTGTATTTTTGCCTTTCGTTTTCATTCTGCCTCTCTCCGGGTCCGGGGAGGTCAGGTTTCCCTTTGGTTTATCTGCTGTTTGACAACACGGATGGGGAGGTGGGGTGGTGAGGAGGGGTGTCCTTGTCCCGGCCTCCGCTTATGATGGGACCCACCCGAAGGGCTCGTAGAATGGGCCCGGCAGTAAAAGTTGCACGGCAATAATGCTGTATCCAATGTTGAATCCGTTTCACGTCACGCTAACGCGCTCCCTCTCTCTCGGTCGCTCTTGCAGGGACGGTGTAACCGCGAGAAGCCCCCATGCAAATACTTCCACCCCCCACAGCACCTGAAGGACCAGCTGCTGATAAACGGACGCAACCACCTGGCGCTCAAGAATGCCCTCATGCAGCAGATGGGCCTGTCCCCCGGGCAGCCCATGGTGGCCGGTCAAGTTCAAACAGTCGTGAGTAATCCGAGGGTGGGTCGGGACCAATTGCAATTGTGTCTAAATTCTTATTCGTAGTTGTTGCATTTTTCTTAGTTTTCTTAGTTTTCGTACATCTCCTCTATTCGCTAATCACAATTGTTTGCTTGTTTAACCATGTTATTTTTTTCAAAAAGAATCTAAATTTTAATTTTGTTTTTGTTGAAGTACTGTGAACTTACCCTAACCGTTCTTTAATTCAGGTTTTCCTTCAACAAAGCATAGCACTGCTGTTCTGATGTCTCAGTTGGACATCAATGCTAGTGGTGCTGTGTTTCTTTATGATTTGAAGTTATAATGTTGTCATTATGTTCACAGGCCACAAATCCTTATTTGACGAGCATGCCCCAAGTGGGTGGCACGTTCAGTCCATACTTCACACATGCAGGGCCCATCATGCCAGCCATCATGGGCCCAGACCCTTCAGGAGTTACGTCACCTCTTGGCATGGTGCAGCAGACGGTTGTGACACAGCAGAAAATGCCACGTTCAGACCGCCTTGAGGTGAGGATCTTTTGTTGTTGTCCCTAATTATATATTTTCCGATTGAAAACCAAACTCATGGTACCTGAGGATGTTTTT